GCCACAAAAAACAGACATGTTTGTTGCACTGATGAAATCTTTTGCAAATCGATTAAAACTCGTGATTGAAAACAATGGTGGCCCAATCGAACGATATTGATACTTGGAATTACTTTTTTTGATTGAATTAACAATCTTACTTTACTTTGTTATGCTCTCGGGGAAAAAAGTTGATTTATTTTGAAACACCCCTTATCTTTACACCATTAGACAGAAAGGTGTTCAAGTAAATGATAACCCTCAGCCAACCAACCCCAAGACATAGAAGAAGTATTTCATATAGTCTGTATTTCTCATGTTCATCAAATACATTCTATTCCTCAAGTTTTACAATATTTTGTCAACCATGATCAAGTCCTTTTTTTTACAGTAATATTTAATGTATTTGTGATTAAGGACTCTGTATATTTATTATTGGAAATGAATAACTCCAAACTTTTGAGGCTTATACAATCACACAATTTAATATGTCTTTCAGAAATAAAGCATGAAATTCTCATCTATCATTAGCACCTGGAATATCAGAGAAGAAATGGTATTCTGACCAATCGGAATGAGTGCTAGCACCTGGAATATCAGAGAAGAAATGATATTCTGACCAATCGGAATGAGTGCTAGCACCTGGAATATCAGAGAAGAAATGATATTCTGACCAATCGTAATGAGTGCTAGCACCTGGAATATCAGAGAAAAATGGTATTCTGACCCTATCGGAATGAGTGCTAGCACCTGGAATATCAGAGAAGAAATGGTATTCTGACCAATCAGAATGAGTGCTAGCACCTGGAATATCAGAGAAATGGCATTTTGACCAATCAGAATAAGTACTGTGATAATGAGTGAGTCAAATAAGTTACTGAAAAAGGAGATTAATATGAGAAACAGCCTAACAATAAAAGTAGTTTGTTTCAACTTAGAAGTTGAAAAACTTGCCCAAGCTTTAATATTTTTTTAATTGAAAACATCTGACTACTGAGAAAACAAGTTTTTCCACACACGTTTGTTCTTTCTCTATAAAATACACACACATATATATATATATATATATATATGTGTGTGTGTGAGAAATCAGAATTTGTAAAGTTATATACAACTTCTATATCCTTAACTTCACACTTTTAATCCTGACTTATATTTGCGAAGTTGCGTCGTATCAAAAGTAGATTTATCGAGAACTTGTTCTATTTATGTCTTTTACAGTTGATTTACAATTATTTATTGTTAGTTTTTAATAAAAGCATTTTAATCATAGGAATTGCAATTATAAGTTAATACGTTCCTCGATTTGTTGATACTACATATATTTTATCATAGTATTGTTAGGTTTACAGAAATCTAACCAAATTTATCTTCTAACCTGAAACATCCACTTAGTTTCAAGTGTTGGTTTAACTGGTTTATCTTCTTATGTTCTGGTGGTTTCAGTTATTCTACACTTTAGGTCATGGTATTAATGTCTACCATGCAACTAAATAAACTAGTGTAAAGATTTAATATGAAAATATAGTAAGTGAAGCTTCAACTTTTGTGTCCAGGACTTGGATGTGATCCTTTGAGTGCACCAGCTAATGGTTACATCCAGTGTCGAGCCGTTCAGAACACATTCTGGTGTAATATCAAGTGTAAAAGTGGATTCTCCATGCCATCAAACTTTCACTTACTTCAAGAAGGGTATGTGAAATGTGATCCTCTGCATGGCCTGTGGAATTTTCAGAGGATTTACAGGATTCAAAGGTTACCGGATTGTTTAGGTAAACTTATTATATTTAGGGTTGCTTCAGATCCTTACTGTATTTTGCAAATAAATAAAGTTACATATTATATATATATATATATATATATATATGTGTGTATGTGTGTGTAGCAATAAAAAACTGGAATATCAAACTATTATGTTTTTTCTCTCTCCTTTATTAATTTCTTCAACCAATTTTGTGACTTCAAATGTCACTCTTTAGGATATAATTTTACTGAGAATTTATAACAAAAACATTCAAATAGCAATGTTCATCTAAACATAAATAATTTAACTTAAATACTTATATTTTCCAAATGTACAAATACATAATACACTTCTTTTTTTTTTAATTAAGTATATTAAAAATCCTAAAAAATATAATTAAAGTTTATCCAATCTACTTTCCTTTTTAAATTACAATCTTATTGTAGTTACACTCTCTCTTGTTATTATAGAAATGCAGGTTATTTATTTCATATCTTTTACGTTTATAAATAATTCACAAAACTGGTTAAAGAAATTTATAAAGGAGAGAAACAAATAGAATAGTCTGATATTCCAGTGTTTTGTTTTTTGTGTCCATGGATGAATCTTATTGGTGGTTTGGTTATATATTTATGCTGATGTGGCACTGCCTGATTGTTTGGATGACAGCCACTCAATTTACTTTATCAGCTTGTGACTGTGCTTTGGTATAGTTCATTTTCATATAACAAACTAAAGCAATCCATAATATTTAGTTTTCATACAAATTTTATTCACTGTTTCTTAAATATACGAATATTTTTGGTTAAAGTTAATCCATGTGGCAGATTGAGGGTAAATTTCATGTTTCCTTAAGAGCTTTATGGAAACTATTAAAAAAAATGATGCATGAAACTAACAATGCTGATACTAAAAGCAGTTAAGGTAGAAAGCCAAAACTCTTTGAAAGTGATGTTATATAACTGAGGATGTAATCTTTACATGAGAAACAACAATCCAGTAGCCAGTAGAGATCTTGTTAATGACCTAGTTGTAAGTATAGTTTTGAATGTTATCTCTGGAACACTGCAGGTATTGAACCCTGCATTTTAGAGTATGAACTTTCAAGCTTAATCTGAGCTACCAGAGGAACCTTGATAGATATATCTTCTGTGTGTTTATAAAATTATTTCCAATGCCCTACACTAATATTTTTGAAATACTAATTTTAAATAAGTGTTCTTGCATAATAATGTTGAAATGAAATATTATTCTTTTTTAAATTCTTAAACATTCGCAAATGGAAGTGTTAGTATTCTTTTGTTGTTTACCATGTTTTTATTTAAAGTTTCTTTTATTGCAAGTTAGCTTCATTTTATATTCGTTAACTTAAGTTTAGCAAGTTGAGATAATGTTGATAAGAATCTTGTTTAAATTATTTCCTAACTTGTTGTGCTACTTTCTATAGTGTCTTGCATGTTTTAGGCTTTGTAATGGTCTGAAATGAACATGCTGCTATAATCAGGGTTCAACAACAAAAAAAACCAACTTATTCAACAATAACAATAATTAGAAATACATTAAACACTTACCAAAACACATAGTTAATAAACACATGTCTGGCCAGGACTTGGCACTAATGTTAATGAACAAAATATCATAAATATCAATAGTATTTCAAATAATGGAATCAGGAAAAAGAACCTGAAAGAAAAAACCTAATTCCAAAAACTACAGCAAACACGGTATTCCAAAAATACCTTTCAATATTAATCACAATATTGAGTGATAAACAGCAATAATTCATTAACTGTATCGTTCACTAACTACCTGTGATTCTTTCTCTTAGTGAAGCTTCTGGCAAGGTATTTATTCACTGAGTAGTCATGAGAGTACACCTCATGTGATCATAAATTTACATAATCTTCTGCTTTGTTAAGAGTATCTTTACATCACCGCTAGGGAAGCTGGTGTCAGTTTCATCATACATACATATTTGCACAAAATACAAATGATGAGCTATAAGATGAGTTATCATTTTAATGCAACTAAAAATCGATAGATAAACTAAACGATAGAATGAAATAATAAATGAACGATAAACACAACCATAATCATTAAAAAAAAATAGAAACCGCTATCTCACAGCTTAAGTTTATTCAAGTTTTAAAGCAATTGTGAAACACAATAAAACAAGAAGTGACAGTCCTTTAAAAAGTGACACTTGTAGCAACTCAGCTATAAAAATAAATCATCAAATAAAGCTGATAGGGTGTTCAGTCTTTTTGTGTCTGTAAATCCTCCTTTTTGTAGGTGTTTATTGTAGCTTCATACAGCATCTTATCTGAAAATTCAGAGAATTTCTTTCAGTACTAGTTGTATTATTCATTATATTTATATATTCATATTTATTTTTGAAAGTTTGTAGTCTCACGAGTGTTTAAAATATAACATGGGAGCTGTATTGCTTACATTTAGCTTTCTAAAATTATCAAATTATTATGAATTTAAATATTTTAAGTCTATCTAGAAATGCATTAGACATGAGAAAGAGGATGATAGTTCAGGTCAGTTTAAATTTACCTCGTTCTTTAGCTGAATCACCACGCACAATGATAGAGGGCTCCATCAAGTTCAAGACTGATGTTAGAGACTGCTCAGACTACGACAATGTGAGTTTTCTTACGGACGTTATCAAAAAAGGGCTATTAGGTAGAAACCAGGAGATATGTGGACAAATCGACTGTAACGAGTTGTAGACATTAATACCATGACCTAAAGT